TAGAGGGGGGGGGGGGGATTCAACTCTCGGATGACTTCCGTCATGATTGGGCCGTTCCGTCCTGTAGATCTGATGCTTGAACATCGGAAGCTTATAGAAGCCGGGAACCACTTAACCCAATTTTGGTCTCTTCAAGCAATCTCAATAAGCATTTACAGTCACAAGGAATCTAACTGGTTAAAAACCTTCGCACACTCTCCCTTCACACAGTCACCAAGCTCTCATGAATACTAATGTTTTTATATGTTCATTGTTTGACCCAGAAAGTACCCCATTCTTCGCACTTGAAACCGTTCACGTAGCCTCGATACTAGTATAATCACAAGAGCCTAGCAATGTACCTGTCATAGAGCTGTCGCTCGATAACAGTTACTGAGGTTTTTGGTAAGTTCAAAACAAGGTGAGGTACTAATACCTGTTGAGAAGACGTAAAATTCTGCCCCATGTATGTCACGCTTGACATTGAAGCCGTTACCGTTGATTTCTACAATAGCATCGGCTTTGTGAGCTTGCATTCTGCTATGCATCCAATGTTTGCCACGGAGCAACAGGATTAGAATTCTGGGTCATCTAACCGGTTATGTGATCCTGTGTTTATGTGTGAAGACACTAACGACCTTAAAATTGACTGGTCATTGACAATGGTTAGTAGAAGCTCATCTTCGGAAACCACGTTCGATTCCCAACCTCCTACAAAGCCAATCAACTTTTTTAAATTGGTCAAAGCATAACCCGGCCGGCCAGAGGCAGCATGGCGGAATAATGTCCAATCTCGTAGTAGTGCTATTCCCCTCTGATTGATAATCGATCTGTGATTGAGTCCTCGCTCAGACCGTAACGCCGTTTTACTAAGAGAAATTACCGACCCAGTGGAGCTTGCCAGTGTCGGACAGATTCGTATAAATCTAATCATCAATCGATAACGACTACTCTGTTTGTGGTTATGATGTTGACAGTAAGTTCAATCGTCTCAGGGACTATTTACAACACCTGATCTTTTCCTTTTTTGCGTTTTCGCAAGTGGCACCTTAAACTGCGCAGGTTAAATAATGTTGTTGATGGTATCTTTCAATTTCATCATACAAATATAAAATTCACAAATAATCATAACCAAGAAAAACTCCAAGGAGTTTTTCACATCGAAGGACTACATCTTTGAAGTTGGATAATTATTTTCTAATCTCTCATAATCTGGCTACAGCTGAAATGCTTAGACATCTTTTTGAAATCGTACCTAAATTCCATGGCCAAACATAATTGCAGCCTAGAAAAAATCCTCTCATCTTGTCTGAAACTCTTGCGCACTCTCTTGCAAAGCACCTTTCCATGATAATGACCCGAACAGATCCGAGGATGGATCTGTTCCTAATTTTCTCAGAGTTTCACTAGTTTGTTTAGCTTAAAAAAACCATAGCTGACAACATTGTAGTTTATTTAGTGTTGAGACGACCCTTTAATGTTGACGAGCATGAGTGCGGGAGGGGTAAATTAACAACACTGGAGCTTGTTACAATAATCCGACTTCGTCATAACTTATTGATTGCGAAGCTTATAAAAAGGAAATTGATTGTTGCTTCACAATTTGGATAAGAAGCGATCCGACGGCTCGCTCTTTATGTTGAAATTAACGACACTTTTAGTTATAAATGAGCATGTTCCCCAGAGGTTCTTTAAGGCCTGTCTCGGTCTTTTTCGATATAATGCTTCTATGATCGATGTGAGGAATGTCGTTCGAGAATTTCGGCGAAAGTTATGTCCCGATTATTTGAGGCTGTATGGTTGTTTTCGTTGTAACGTCGATCATTCATAACTTCAGTGGGCAGCAGACGTTCTGTAACGAGATGCTCTTTGTTTGAAAATATACCGATGTAATTCACAGACATTGTGATAAACACATTGTAACGGTGTGACCATTCCTGTAGTGAGCTACGTGAAATATCTAGAAGTTAGAACTTGAGCTCGATCATTATATTAATCGTTAGTCTTATTTTACTATGCCCCCTAATTAAAGATACGAGAGCTTCATTGTTTTCAAATTTCTGTGTCGTTCCGATGTTTGGAGACCCTCTATGAAGGAGCACATTGATGCTATTTAATTATTGCGAAGACCGTCTGTTTGTAGGATCGTATTTAAATGCGGGGTTAGGTAGAACTGCTCCGTCACTTCAGATATTTTTCTTAGATCTTTATTGCAGTTTAGGACAGACTTTGATACATTTATTAAGGTACCACGAACAGCTTATAATACTAATTAATTGAAGAGCCGGATTATTCGTAAAGTATATAAGGAAGGAATTGATGATTGACAAGTAATGCTCTCGGCGGAATAAGGTCTGCGCGAACCCCGCACTCATCGACGCGAGCTGGATGAACATTTGAGATAAAACACTCCGCAATGGACCGGCACTAAGGGCATTTAAGGCGGTTCGCATCGAGAGGCCTTGCTATTGTATGCTTTCCTAAAAAGATGTCCTGGAATTTCGTCAAAATTAAACTCAGACAATGTCACTTGTGGAAAAAGCGTAATACAAAATTGCTCGGACCGCTAAAATATTACAATTCTATTGTTAATTATTTTCTTTTGGTGAAGTAAAGATCATGTTGGTAACCTGAGTTGCTTGAGGTAGAGGTCAACTTCGCACGACGCTTCATCACCTTTTTCAGCAAACTCTAATTTAAAGTTTGATACTTTTTGGCAGACGTTTCTATCTTGTAGATTTAATATACTCGTACGGCATATGAATGCTGAAAGATGTCGAAGTTTAACGCATAGTTAGGTTGACGGAATTGTACATGCTTAACATGGGAACGTACTAGTTACCAAATGCTAGGAACTACTATCAAGACTCTAGGATTGACATTTAAGTGCGAAACGCTAAAATAAAAATACGCCAGCAATTTATTTTACCGTTAAGTTATGGGTCTATTCTGTTCCAACTACCTGTAGTTTATGGGCTTGGATCATCCTGCGCTTTTTACTGCTTACCTAGTAGGTCGGTCTACAGGAACAGAAGAATAAATAGGTCACAACTGTATGTCGTTCGACCGCCTTAGCGTAACTAGAAGTCTCGTTTTTGTTACGGTGGTTTTATCTTTTATCATAGAATTTGTAGAAAGAACGCTGGTTTCTAAGTATGAACAATGTAAACAATGGGGGGGCGATGGGGGTAAACAAATGGGGGGGGGACAAGTTAGGTCTGCTATAGCTGGTCAGCGTGGTGGAATATCATTCTCTCAGTCATCATCCTCCATTTTCATCTACTTTGCGTTTTATACGTTGAGAAAAATAGCATTTCCAAAGAATTCTCGGATCCACCATAGGCATTATAATTACGATAACGAAGTTTTACTGGCCAGCACCAGTATCTAACAACATTGGCCAAATGGTAATAGCAACTTTCTTGAGGATAGCCATGCTATTTCCAGTAACAATTGCGAATATTGAGTACTCTGCGGATTGTACTGAGGTGGAGGGAGTCGTACATGTAGGAGTGGGATCCGTTCTCCTTGAGATCGTTGGTTGCCTGAAAATCGTGAAAGTATGAAGAAATACACTTGGTGTTTCTGGGATTTTCGATTATTAAAATCCAACTTTCGATTATTAAAGTTGGACCGTGGCAATACATACAACTCTGGAACTGCACTATCTTCGCTTCTTCTACTCTCAGAACTAGTTACCCAAAGCTTAGTAAGCACTTCAACTCTAATTGATCAACATTAAGCCCAGATTTTCGAACAGCAGCGCCCTTCTATAAACCTGTCAACTCGTAATGTATGCAAAGCCATCAGAGTCCTATCACAATGAATATAATGAGCATATTCGATTAGGGATCATGTTAGGTCTATTCCCAAACTAATTTATTGAAGTATTTAGTATTTAAATTTTAAAAAAAAACACAAAAACACGATGATAGGTAACCTGGGCCGCAGTATATTTTTCAACTATTGAAGCCATTTTAGTGGAAATATGGATGACGCTTGAATCATACGCAAATGACACACGTCATACTGAAAGCTACGTACATACTGAATGAGGAGCACACGAACGACCGAACGTAACATCAGTTTGTTTTTGTAAAATTTGCAGAGGTTTTTCACAACGAATATTGAGTAGCTACTGAAAACGTAGGAGTGAGGTAAATGCATGTTTATTCCGTTCGCTGAAGCACAAATCCGCCACAGACGTATTTGCCACATTGTGTAGAATATAACTATAGGTTGCATTGAGATTCTTGCGTTGGTGACTTGCTCTCCAACAGACGCCGCCGCTCATAGACGGCAAACCACGAAGGAATATAATAAGATAATTGCTGGAAGGTATAGCTACGGGTCTGATGATGGGCACAGCCTTCATGAGAGTATTGCGTTACTTTTGTGTATAGGAGCGTGTATAGTAAGACAGTATTTATTGTTTATTAAGTTAGGGCTACGAAGTTTCTTGTAGTGAAAAACTACAGCAGACACTGAATCAGTAAACACGTAATGACGTAGCCTCCAATATGTCGACCTTCTTTGGCTCGATATAATCTGGGCAGCTTTGGTAACCAATTGCCATCTGCTTTAATCGAATCAGATTTGCCATCAGCAATACGACTACCAGTGCTAATAGTGCGAGCTAGATCGATCGTGCAGGCTAATTTTTATTCATAAGAGATTTGCTAAGGGCATCTCGTCAGTTGAGACGTTTAAGGGCTGCTAGAGATACACTGGTGCTATTTTATTAAGCATTTATATCATGATTGCTACGTTGTGTTATAACTGCTGTTATTGTGTAGAGTTATTGCTTCATTTAAGTTTCTATCGGTGTGTACGATTCCTGACTATCCGGATGATTTGCATATAGAAGAAAGAAGAAGCTTGTGTTTCTATTAAAGACAGTACATACTTCTGCCGCAACCGAGACTTTGTCTTTCAACCAAATTAGTTAGCATGGAATAGACAGGATAACGAAGTGTCCAGGCCCAACAGCGTCCTGCCTCTTTCTACATTTCTGCTTGCAGCATGTTCAGTGGTGAGGCGCTGGCCGCTCCTAATTCTGGGTTTTGCTATCGGAACGCGCGCGCAAGAGTACGATTATGGCGATGCGGACTACCTCGACCCGCTACTTGATAACGGTCTTAGGCTTAGCCCTGACACTCTGGGTGTTTTTGATTCGTTCGGGCTACCTTTCGCCAACCCAGTAACATTTCGAAGACATGTGCAAAGACCTCAGCGGAGACCGAATGTGATTGTCATCCTTGCCGATGATATGGTAAAACAAATTATTTTGACTGGAAAAATCATTGGAAATTATTCTTGCTTACTAGATAACGGCACGCCTATACTTTGGCTTTTTTTTTTACATTCAACTCATCAGTCGCAAAATAGATGTCCTGAGAACATATGTGTAAAATTTCCAGATTTTAGTGAGTTCGCCTGTTCTGACAATTATGGTTCCAGTATATAACTAGAGACAAAAGCTAGTGTTAACTAATCAGATTGACAGGCCCTTAACTTCAAATAACTGCCTAGCGTCAGTCGCTTGACTCAATTCGAGAAAAACATCTATTGAGCGCCATAGGCACAAAAAGTACTCACACTCGCGTTAGAATGAAGCGTCATATTTTGCTTCGAGCACTGTATCACGTAAAACGGACGCTAATCTTAATATTTTTCGTCTTAAAAGTTACGTCGTTGCATTGTTTCTCAAAGTTTTCCAAATAAAGTTAAACCAATCCAGCAAAGTGGAACTTTAAAAATCGACAGTAATGTATATGACTGGATAGTTCCTCCTTAAAACGTCCCTAAGACACTATATCTTGTTCTAGCTATATGTTGACCTAGCGAATCTGGATTCATTTTACAACTAACAAAAACGTAATCTGAGCTTTAAGTTTCCATGTTCTTTAACATTAAGTTGGCATGAAATCTTTGCCTCTATTCCGATTACTTTACCGAAACCTTTCATGAATACCCCCTGAGCATTTTCTTATATCCTGACGCTATTAAAAGTGCAATTGATTTGTTTTATAGGGATGGAACGACGTGTCATTTACTGGTTCGAGTCAGATTCCAACGCCGAACCTGGATGCCCTTGCTTCCTCCGGCGTTATGCTTCACCACCATTACGTTCAACCCTTGTGTACACCTTCCAGGGCGGCCCTTCTCACAGGGATGTACCCCATCAACACGGGTATTCACTGATCCAAGGCAGTTGCCATCTTACCTGTTATGCTCATAATTCTGCTGCAGTCCGGCACCCGCTTGCATAATACAATGAGTAACTTAAAATTGAAACGGAGTTTGATTGAATGGATGAAAACGGAAGACGGAGCTTTAATATAAGAGCGATCATTATTATTGCAGATTAGCCTACCGATATATCATGCCTATTTTACTCAGTCTGATATGCTTCATTTCCTAATAGAACCGCTAGTGGCGGCCACGTGGTAACATGTTTGCCAAACAAACTATTGATTGGGCTCGAAGCTTCGTTAATGTATCAGGAAACTAGAAAGACCCGACGTCTCCCATTTTGATGAACTAGCCACTTAAGTGTGAATTGCCAAGCGATCATACAACTTACAAATAGGGGTTGAACAGGGATGCAGCACTACGTGATTCGGAGCCGTGAGCCCTGGGGCCTTCCGCTTGATATCAAGCTTCTGCCGCAGTATCTTAAGGAACTTGGCTATTCGACGCATATCGTTGGAAAGTGGCACTTGGGCCAGTTCCGTGAGGAATATTTGCCAACGAGAAGGGGCTTTGACTCACATCTTGGGTACTACAACGGATACATTGATTATTTCTCTCATAATCATACGTTTGTAAGTTTAATCCTCTACTTGTTTTTTAGTTAAACTGTATTATATTTATATCATGTTGTCTCGAGTCATGCTTGCTTAAGGAGAGTGTTTCCTTGTAGCATAGGTAGTCCTTGTGTCCTGAACAGGTTATTCGCAGCATTCTCCGTTTTCGTTGACTTCAGCCCGTTCGGCTATCCCAGTGTACTTTTTATACCTATCAGAGAAGATGAGTATGAAAACGTTGATGTAAAAAAAAAAACAGAATTTAGCTGGTTTAGTTTGTTTGGCCAATAGTAGATCCTCTAAATGCATGATTGAATACATATGTCCTATGTATACACATGTCCTATAGGACATGAAATTATTCACACTTTAAATGAAAAACATAGCAATAATTAATGAATAATGTTTACTTCGTTTACCATCAAAATTGTAGCAACAATACAATGCGCTAGACTTTTTCCTGAATGAGAAGCCATACCTGACTGATGAGTACGCAACTCGTGTATTTACCCGCCGCGCCCAGGAAATCATCAGGGACCACGATGTTAACCAGCCACTTTTCCTTTATTTTGCCCATCTTGCGGTTCATAGAGCTACAGATAAGGACCCGTTTCAGGTACTTTCTTACATATGTTTTCATTTCAGTTCAAACTGTACACGTTTAATAAGTAGACGTTTCAAGGCGCTTAAAGTAGAAAGCGATTTGGTCCGCTGAAAATGGCTATGTCATTAAGCCTGTTTCGAATCTGAACGCAGACAAAGCTGTGGAAACCGAACTGGTTGTCCCGAAGCACAAATCCATATTTTAATAAGATTGAATTACTGCGTAGAAATATTTTTCATCGATGGCTCGTACAGTTAAACGTACATGAACGCAGATAATCTTCCTCTGCCCTAGTGCGGTGCGGATACATCGCTAGAGGTATGATAATTTTGCGCTTTTAATACGTTCACATATCATTAGGCTCCACAGGAGACAATCAACAAATTTTCGTACGTAGGAGATAGGAACCGTACGACGTTTGCTGCAATGTTGAAAGAGCTGGATATTTCGGTGGGTCAAGTTGTGGACGCCCTAGCCCGAAAAGGTATTCTCGATAATACCGTGATTTTATTCTCATCCGACAATGGGGGACAGGCTACAGCACCTATGGAAAACACCGGTACTTTCTCGGTTAATTCTTAAGTTGATCTGATTTCCTAGAGTGACTAATTGCAGACGATTCGTCTCTTCCTCGTAACAATTCGGAACTGAACACTGTATAATAAAAATTAGAATAATCAAAATTATAGTGAATGTATTTTTTAGTACTTCAGGATGTGTGTAAATACAATTCGGGTTAGGTCTACCACAAATTATGAAAAATAGTTCACCTTTAGGCAAGACAAAGGCAGGCTCGCATTCACAGCAGACCCTATTTCAGCTGACACCAGTACATATCAAACAACCCTTTCGACTCAAGCAAGCTCAACGATCCCACTTTTTAGGGTCTAACTTCCCCCTTCGGGGACAGAAGAGGACTTTATTTGAAGGCGGAACTCGGGTCCCAGCATTCGTATGGAGTCCCCTCATTCGTAGACCAAGGAGGGTTTTCCGCGGAATCACTCATATTGTTGACTGGTTGCCGACTATCTACCATTTAGCCGGTACTCAAAAGTCTTTGAACAATTTTGCCATTGTATCTACATTAAAACTCTGAACAATTTGCTGCTACTTCTCTGTGTTCCGCATATTCATTCTTATGGAAAACTTTCGGATTTTTGCTATCTCTTTGGTAGGCGTTGATGGTGTGGACGTTATTGAATCTGCACACTGGTGCTCGATCTCTAAAATTGATAGTACATTTCTTGTTAGTCACTATATTTCGTTAAGGAAATGGTAAAGGAAAGAAGTCGAGGGTTCTTTGCAGAGAATTTAGCCTCTTTTTTCAAAACGAAACATATGTTTACTTCGCCATTTTCATAGCTGTGCGTTCTGTATTGTTATATTTTACATCGTATTATCACATTGAACAACGCGAAGCGAGCATCTTACCTAACCTAGGTGGATGCAAATTTGTTTTCCATTCCGTGTCACTGATTCCGTCCTTTTATTCCATACTTCCTCAGGGGGTGATGTAGCTTCTCTTGATCATCTAGATGGTGTAAATATATGGAGTTCGTTGTCTAACGATGCACCGTCCCCACGCACTGAAATCCTGTACAATATCGATCCGGTAGACAGGAATCTTGCCATTCGTATAGGCCGCTACAAACTTCTTTTCGGTACGTTTCCTAATTTTAGACCACTAAACTATATGACACTATAACTGAAAGCCAACGTCCGCAAACCTAACAAACCTTGTGACGTGGAACGATGTTGTCGTCAAATTCAAAATAAAGTCGCAATTATACATTATATAATATAATCTAGATTATGGGGCACTGTAAACAACTCTATGCAGCCGATTAGCATATTGGATAGTTATAGTTTATTTTTACGAGGGCGCAACAAGCGACGAAACGCATCGACCAAATAGATGGATTTCAAGTACAACGATAAAAATATTAATATGGCTGGAATGGTCCTCTTTTTAATTTCTGCGAAGATTTAAATCACTTATGTATTTACTTATTGTATTACAGGAAGACAATCCAATCTCACGGGATGGTACGATGGGCGAGGTTTCGGATATGTGTCACATTTTGTCCTCGAGAAACACATGGACCAGTCTGTTGTGGCGCGTATATTCAAAAATCTTGGATATTGGTGGAAAGGTATAAACAATTTGGTTTTGCAAATCTGACTTGCGCCCACATAAAAAGTCTAACCTTTACTCTAACTTTAAGTCGGTTTGCCATGCGCCGAAACCTCATCAGAACTCATATTTAACATATTTCAATGTAGTATTTAGATAAATAGCGTCGATTAAAACGAATCGGAAATTTCAACGCACTGCATATATACATTAAAACTAGATGTTAGTGCAAAAAATTTTTTTCTCGATTGCTTCTGGTCTGGATTATATCGTTCCGCTAAAATTAAATGATAAAATAACAGTTAACAATGGAGTATCATAATCGATACCTGAGCTGCTGTATTGTCGTCAAGACGTCTATATCTATTCTGATGAAAATTTAGGCCCTGAGCAAAATTACCAGAGTAAGCCTACTTGGCAATGGCGTGAAAATGCTCGCGTACAATGTGGACGTCACCCGGATGCACAGCCTTGTGTGCCGGGTGAACAACCTTGCCTCTTCGACCTCGCTATCGATCCCTGCGAGTATAACAACATATACCAACAGTTCCGACAGGTAAAGATGAGTTTGTAAATGAGAAACACCCAAGGAACTCCACTCAGCTATCGCAGGTGAAATTATCAGTCAATACAAACAGGATGAATGACGAACAGTATTATTTACGTCAAGATTTTTTTTTCTAAATGCATTGTTGCAATGAAAACTGAATAAAGTGAAACCATGCGCGCTATATAAATTCTCTGAAGCACTGAATCGTCTTGTAAATCCATTATCTATACCGAAAACACATACCATACATTAAAGTAACTTGACAGTACTTGTTTCACATCTGCACACAAGGAATGCTTACAGATAAAACACACGATTTTATGTGTAGATATGGAGTCAAATCATCTTTTGCCTTACTTTTTTTCGGGAGATTCCTTTTAAATAAATAATCTGTAATTTATATATATATATATATATATTTATATATATAAAAGAAGGAATGTGTTTTTGATTTTGGCTATTACAGGATCTAACAGTCGTGTGAAACACCTATTCTTTGGCAATTTTTAACGGTTTTATTCGAAGAGTTATTAGTAACGCACAAGTTTTCTATTCCACTCGTGTTGCACTTGGACCTGTATTGTCCGGTGCAGATTGCAGATTACCTTCTTGCTCGATTGGAGTTACATGCTCGTAATGCTCGACATATAAACAACAAACCGGATGACGACAACTTTAGACCCAATACCACATGGGGGCCCTGGATCTACTAATACTTAACGTCCGACGCTAAATTGAGTCCAACCAGAATGTAAAGTGTAACTAGCTGTAGCTATTCTTTTTAAGATTACTTATGTCTGATGATGTATTTCATTCTAGTAATATTCTTTTACATAACGACTTGACTTAGGAGAGATTTCAATATTCGTCTTTATTTCAGAAAGTATAGATATCTGACTTTTGCATCTAAGTTGTACTTGGTAGAGAAAATAGCCGTTGTTCAAGTTTTAAGCTAAACTTATGGTATTTGAAAAAATGAGTTGGGTATTTAGCAGAGTTTACTACTTAATGGCATTTTTTTTTACAACATAGCTCGAAAGTTGCCAGCTGGCGGTTAGATTTAATCTAGGAGTAACACTGTGCATGCCTAACTCATTCATCAATACGTTTCGCTGGCAGCGATATGAAGAACTGAATTTCGACTTTCTTCAGTCATCGACAAGTAATTAGATACTTGGTTCTTTAAAAGGGCTTAATCCCTGGGTCTTCGAAGCAACAGTCGTAATCGCATCGCGTCAACTTATCTAGCAGTCATAATGACCCACGTTTTAGTTTGGTCTAAATCGACGCAACCTGTTCCGCAGAATGTTTTAACTGATGTATGAACTGAGGTATCTAAGTTACGAATAGTTGAAAGAGAGAAGCTTTTTCTATAAGCCAAGTTATCGCATTGCCAAGAATTATTAAACTAGTTACTTAAAGTGATGAACGACGTGCTCACTTTGCGTGAAAATGCGGTTCATATTGTATCTTTCAATCGACGCTTATACTTGAATGCCGAATGTGTGTCCAACTAAGACAGCAGTTCATTGCTGTAAATGAGGTATACTCTCAGGAGGTTGTTGGAGGTAACTTTAGTTAACAATTGAAGGTGATTTTGTAGTTTAACATTAGTTTATGGACACAAGTTCAAAATTGGCTTCATTTGATTTGAAGTGTGAAGGAGTTCAACGACAAGCTCTGTCAATTAGCAGAGACATTGTTATGTTTAATAAAAGCATCACGCTGTGATGCAGCATGATGATGTTTTGAAGTTAGAAATTGCTGTTTGAATTACATAGAGAACTCCAAAGATACCTGCAGTTTTGCAAATTGCATATTTTCTACCCAGTTTTTAGATTTACTTTTTTGACAAATGTAATTAATATGTATGTTTTAAAAACGGCCAGCCGAGTATGCAGCTTAATGTCTTAGGCTTGTAGGTAATTCCATAACGAACGGACTTGCTCATTACGTCGTACGCTAACGTAGTTTTACTCCATTCAGCTTTATAGTAGCACTTCTTCAAAAATATAAACAACGTATAAAGTAGCGTGAATTATGGCTGACGTACCGTCCCATCGAGTTGACCATTACTTAAATTTTGCAAGAAAGGTTAACCCTTCACGGTTGTTCTACTTGATTCTGCAGCTATCGACTTGCGAGGAACTATTTGAGAAAATGTGTAAAAATAGCATTTAATAAATAGCAATTAAAGAGATGATTCGATTATCATTGTCGTATACAGCGATAAAGTATCTCAAAGATTGACGGTCAGTTTCTAAACGTCAGAGCAGCAATCTATTTATTGGATGACCCATATCACTCACTCCACGACTCGCCCGTTGTTAATCTGATGCCTACCTTCAAACGATGGTGAAGCGTCTAAAACGTGCACTAGTGAAATAAGCTGCAGGACAATTGAACCATCCTAACCAGCTTCTTGATGCAATCAAACTACATTCAAATTAGAACACACGAAACGTACAGACACTGAGGACAAGTTACAAAGCACAGTAGTACTTGAAGAGATTCAAGTTAAGTAAAAGAATTAATTGAAGAAAAAAAGTTGTATGAACCTGCAGGTTATCATTTCCCTTGTTGCCCAACACGAGCTTTGAAGTGGACCCATAAACAAAATACACACAGACGACGATGCAACGAGTTCCACTGATGATAACTTGACAGTCGCTGCCCGTGCAGAGACGCCCACTTGTACAGCTGCAGCTTCGGCTACGATGGCTCACGGTCACGACCTCGCAATCAGAAGAGGAAACATCCGAACCAAATACAAAGCCTCATAGCAAAATTACCTTCTCAATATAGGTAGGAATTGTGCCCTCACTATTCGTAACCAGACAAAGATAATGGCCGTCGAGTACCCGCTCACATACCCTGGTAGCACTTGTGAATTACCACTCGGTGCGCTCGCTCTCACCCGAAGAGAAAGTGGAACAATAAGGACAGCAAAATCTTATCTAGGAAACCATAAACAGCAACAAGTTTAGATACGGCATTAAATGCGAAGCATCGGTCTCTATCATAAAGCTTATTGATGCGTTCCAGATCCAACAATGGGGTGAGTATATCTTGTAACGTCAAAATGCTTGAGTTTCTGCCGTCGAACGAACTATAGGTGTAGGTGAATGCGCTTCACAAGGAGATGCATCTCATCGGAACACCTCACAAAAGCGACCAATTAAAGAAAAATTAACTGAGGATTGGTGAATTTTATGCTGTCATCAAAAATATTTTCGTTCTCAGTATTATCTACACGAGGTGCTGCGAAGATTATCATGGACGTTGCTGAAATGCGCTCGATCTAGTTTAACAGAATAGTTAAGGCTTGAGAACCAGAAAACATAAATTGCCCATAATCCGCACCCTACTATAGGATTATTTGCGCTTTAGTCACTAAGATACGCCTTTATTGGATTCCATACACATGTGTACGCGCATAATGTGTTGTTTTGATGAAGTAAATCACTCCTCTGCTTTAACTGTAAAACTATAAATTATGTAATGACAAGCGAGAGACTACTCCACACTCGATGAGAAATATAAAAGTAGAAATATACTTCGCGGAACTTCACGTTAACAAAAGCGCCCTAGATCTTTTGCAAATGCTTTTCACAAATAGTACCATAGGTCTGCTAATATGAGCATCACGAAATCATTATGATTGAACTAATTATCTCTAGGACTGAGAACTTTGTTAAATGGTGCCGATGCAATCGCTTGAACTAGTTTTTTTTTTTAGCTACACTCTTAATTAGCCAGTAATTAAGAGATATATATTTAACAGGACGAAAGGCACTACATGATATTATGCTGAAGATAATTAAATGGGTTTGTTGAGTATAATTGTAATCGTATAATCGAATATTTTTTTAATTCGGCTCTTAAATAATTTTTTGCAGTATTTTGCAAGCTTTGTTTTGCTGCCTGAACCAAATGTTTCACCTTTGAAATGTATATTACATGTATGTTAGTATGTAGCGAAATGCAAGCAGCTATAGTCAGGAAATTCTAAACACGTAAATTATATATATGCTTCAATTTACTATCTACGAAATTATACGCGCATAGTGACTGAAAGCTACGGGAAGTAACCTATAATAAAAACAAATAACTTATATTTCAAATAAGAATACAGTCAAACATTTTTGGGCATTAGGTTGCTTCTAAGCCGACAGTGTTATAGGATATTAGTAAGGGAGAAATAGAGTAGGCGGGAGATAGATTTCAAAACCTTTAGGCATAAGACTTCATAATATAATGCAATAAAGACAATCTTCTGTTTTTATATCTCGATTTAAGGCCTGGAAAGTGATCTTCCTCGATGATTTTTAGCAAACACTGGAATGGTCTAGGCCTCAATAAGGAGAAATGGAACGCTTACTATTTTCTCACTAGTTTTTGTTTTAAGTGTATAATATGATGTAAATGAATGCTTTAGGATAGATTAAATTCGCTGAATAGAATTCTCCAAAGAGGTCATAATAATGCTTTTCGAATAATAAGATTTTTTCAATAAGTGCTTGCTCAAATTAAATTACCTTAATATGAGGATAGTCTTAATTTAGCTTAAGGCCAAGGTAAAATGTTGCCTGTTAAGTACGTTTTTTACATAGTATTTGGATGACCTAGCAAACGATTAAATCGATCGAAAAGCGGTACGTAGCGTCCGCACGCTGCCTCACGGCAAGTTACCTAGCAGCGCCATTAGTCATCAAACCATCCAGCAAGAGAGAGGATAATATTCCACAAGCGTTGGTTTTATTTAACTTCCGTGAGGTTAACTAACTGGCGATGCGGTTTGACAAAAGTTAGACAGTAACTGAACGAACGCAGACATCGTGTGGTGTGTTCAATGGTAACCAAAATAAAGCCGGCATAATTTAGATAAAGGGAAGCGTTGAGTTCTACAGGAACTGACATAACATAGATAAAAAGTTAAAATATCTATCTGTTTAAAATGTGCTGATAAACAAACATCAACAATACCATCATCCCAGCGTGGCATTTATGCGTGCCACTGTCTTATACACGCAAGTTAGAGATGGGTTTTTAGTAAGTTTTTTTTTACTTTTGTTATACGAAGGACCGCTAGGACAGTTCGATGACGTCCTTATTATGAAAGTGAGGCTTTACTGAGTGAGTGCTACAAATTAACGCCATATTTTAAGCCCTCGAAGAAAACCGTATTATCCCCTGTCGTTAGACCTGAACTTTGGCGTACTGTGGGTATTAGGCACCTATTGGAAAATGCTGAAACCGAAAGAAAGTCAGCGAAAATTTGATATATAGATAAAGAAAAACGCTAGTTTTAATAGATGAGTCTCGCTGGGGCAGATTTTCTGCAAAATAAAAGTTACACGTTGTACGGTCATTTGTAGCTATAATTGTGCATACAAATTCCAAAGCACACACGCACACGCGCAAGACATAAATAGAATATTCGGAGAAAATCTAATTTTTTTTCAAACACGCTATTTAATTCCGTTTACCATTTTGGCCCTGATCACATCAGTGAAAACATCATGTTGCTTTTTCAGTTACTATCCAATATACATGGTCATTTCCAATAATGAAGTCATAAAATTAAATAAGGTACATTGATTGATTGATGTCACAATCAGTGTAATAAGCACAGGATTTTTATGGTTCTGCCTTTAGCTAAGGCACTCTATGTGTAACAACAGTGTACGCACTGAGGGAACACAGATCGTCCCCCAGATGTCTTTAATTAAAGTCGTATTGATCGAACTGTAGTATTTCCTAACGTCTAATATTTCTCATTCATATACATTCCTTCGCACAACGTAAAATAGCCAGTTGGCAAGATGATGCCTGCAAAAGATTTCCCGTTAAATCGTAAATATCTCGTTCGCAAGCCAAATTGTAACTAAAATTCTAATAAACTAAAGCTCGTCGCGGACGCCACCTGGCCGCCGACGGAAAACCCACAAAACAGACAGAAGGAGCAATCGGGCAAAGAAGACTCGAAATGCGTAAGCAATTCAAGAACCGATTCCCATTAGAAAAATCGATTTATTGATAACTTTAGGAAGAAGATGGCGACCAGGAAAGACATCAGGAGGACTCACGAAGCAACAGCAACAACGTACTGTCAGTAGCCCTAGCGTACAAAGATTTAAGGAGGGAGAAACAGAAAGTAAACTATGAACGATATGATAAGAACATTTGCAGCGGCAGTGAGGTCCAGTGGGATTCGCAGTTTCCGTGAATCGCTACTACTGCTGCTGCTGCCGCCACCTAGCGTCGTTCAATGCTGACCACAGCGTAGAATTCCAACAATCTGACCGTGACAAGCCCTCGACTTTTATTGCTCAAATTGTTTTATGTTTACGGAACATGGCCGAACATTCGCGCCCCATCTAATGACCTTTCTAGACTAACCTTTATAGGCCTGTCGTCGCTGTAGCTAATAGAGCTTCTCCTACCGTGTCGATGACAGCAGCGGGAGTAACGACTCGAAGGCAACATTCATCAGATGTTATTATTGCTTTCTGTTGTTTGTACGCGTGAAATCTCAGCTGAGATCAGGAGCGACTGTTAACAATACTCTTCGCCGAGAGCCGTTGGCGACGGCTGAACTAATGGGAATGTCCGAAAGTGGCCGCAAGTTTCCTTATTTCATGGTTCTTGTTTTGCTCTTAACTTTGCTGGCTGACAATTGATGGCAGTCATCGTTGTTTTGATCCTACACTCGATATCTGTATATAGATACTGACACTGGATGTAATAAATGGTTGTCGGTGATGACTGCGATTAGCGGCTAGTCCATCAATAAGTTGAGTGAAAAACATCGGGGAGCTGTGACGTTGTTCGAACGTCGAATATAGAAACGTGAGCAGTACAGTGTAGTATCTCGTTAAGCCCCAGCTGAAAATAAATTTCACAAAATCCATCTAGTTATATAGGCGTATGATATGACTAACAATATACTATAGTCGTCTTCCTATGGAGCTACTTAGCACATGAAGGAACTAATCTATTTTAGAGTGGTTTCTTATAGTTCAATTTTGCCAACTGGAACTTTTATGGCTTTGGCCGATAGTGATAATCTCTTAGTTTTAAAATGAAGACTAACTTGTACAAGGTAGCCTCTCTGAATCTGTTGGTTATCGTTGCTGTTATAGGCGAAGAAAAGAATAACTTGCTGGATTGAATGCTTTTTCTGAAGAACTAAGCTATTACGTCATGTTTGTTATTTTCAAGTTCAGCTTTTGATTCTGATTGTTCACAGGTAATCACTATTCTCTGGTTAACAACGCTTGAAGACAATTGACTTTATTATGAGCAAAACGACAGTGTATTTAGGTAGATGACTGGAACCGTCTTAGAGAAAAGAAAGAAAAGCAACACATATGCGATAATACGATAACGGAAATGTAACGAAACGAGGGACCATTCAATATGTGCCTCACCTGCTTGACTAGATATGAAAACAGATAACTTCATTCATTCGGATGGAATCACTGAGGGGCATTATGCCTAGCAAGACATAGCTTTTATCCAATGACGGTACTTTTAACTCAATGTATGGTTTGATATCTAAAAAAGCATTTAACTGAGCGACAAATAAGCTCACGATGTCTGTCGTTCTGCTTCAATAGACTAGTACAGCCACCCTAAGCCCTCTTCCGAAATTTCCGAGTCCTGCATGAAGTAATATTAAGATTAAATTCAAAATTATACCGGGAATCTCGTCGGCTTTCTCGGCTTGAACCTGCCACGAATTAGATGGGATTAACTGAGCACGATTTTTAATAAGATCACGTCAGAGCACGTTCGTTGGTTGGAACACGAATTAATTTATTATCGTATATTAATAAATTTTTAGTTGCATCTCTATCGAAGCATGGAGAGTGATCTACAAGTAGATCAACTGATCAATCAGCATTATGTCGAGAACTGCTCTACATTAATCGCCAGTAGTAATATAACGATGTCTTATCGTATTGTCTAATGAGCAAGTAAAAATTATACTTGCGAATTTATGAGCGATCAAAAAAAGAGCTTCACTTGTTTCTTAAAAATGAAAAGTAAAAAACTTACACAGAGCTACTTGTGGCCACTTCCGGTCTCGCGCTGCTCATCATGAACAGAATCTATGTAATTTGCCGAGCCTGTTTCGCTGCGCCTGAATTTTCGGAATTTTTTGGACCTTATGACTGTGGAGATTTACGATAAGCCCATATGTCGCAATGGGCGACCGCCGGACCAATATTACTGATGGACAGTTAAAGCTTGTTATTAGGACGAGATATAAAGAAAAGCTGTAGATTTTTTTCTATTGTATGCTGGGTTCTTTCCAAGTTCGCACTTAATTTAGATACAAGAACAACTAGTCAGCCTGGAACAAAAATGTAATGAGAGCGGCTCTTTGGAATCCACTGCAGAGGACGCTGCCCAGGGAAAGGACCTGAAGAAGGCTGCATCGTTTAGGGCCGAAATTCATCTGCAATCCGCAGGCGCATTCAGCGGTGTTTTAGACCCAATGATGGTTCTAATTCTATTAGGGGACCAGTTACCGAAACAGCAGATACCGACAATGCTGGAACAGCGCATACTGACTTTAACGGGTTTTCTACGTATCAGTGACAACTTGGCCCTGACTTCGATGTTCTGAATGACCTAGATATCATTAACGCTGACAGCTCGCTAGCTAATGTCGAGTACTATTTACAGAAACTGGTAAAAAAAGCGGAATAAGACATTCGAGGAAATTTCTAGCTCTGTTTGCAGGGAATACAAAAGTGCCATCTGTGAGGTCCAACCTTTGACGTCACTTTGAGACTAGCCCAGGCCTTAAGCCGTTTTTGGCCGCTATTGGTCCAGTTTAGAAATCTCGTGGTGAGGTCGAAGAAGCCCACCTCAGTTGTCAGATTACAATATTCTGGAAGATACAATATTCTATACCATCTATAACCAAAACCTAGTCCATAGGCAGCAGTGCGCGTAGCGATCAAAACTTTTCGCCATCATGCAGTAGTCAGAGACACAAAATAACTGGGCTTTCACAATAGGCGACAACGAACTTTCTGATTGTATATATATATACATTGATTTTAATTGATTTTAAACCCACGTTGGAAATAGTTACTTAGGACAACTACTCAGAGGAAATCAGTATACCGTATCAAATTGTTTCTGAGAAGGAACATTTGGATACGAGTGAATAACAACATTTGCTCTTTTTTCCCAAGTCGCGTCAGGCCAACCGCATGAGGGCAGTTCTTGGTCCTTATACGTACTTACTGAAACACCTTACGCCTACGAATGTATACGTATACATTCGTAGGCGTAAGGTGTTTCAGGTACACTAGGTACGTGAAAATGTGCGCAACAATCAATGTGCTGTGAACGGTTGCTTTACAAGAGTTGTC